GAATCCTGGGTTGGAAATCTCTCTAAAAATGCTTCCAATGAAGAGTTTCTTGTCATCATTAGACAGTCTTGTTTACAGGTGTTAGCAAACAGATCCCATGTTTACTGGGCTGTCATTCAGAAAGGCCCCTTTGCCAATGACACAGGCAGTCAGGGCCAGGAGCTCCCTCCTCCGTCCATCTCAGACAGACAGACAGACTCAAGCTCAGACTGGAAGGTCAGCTCCACCACCTAGTGGCAGCGTGCCCACAGTTCAAGCAAGTTGGCCCTGCTGAGTTAATCAGCGGAGTCTCTTAGCGATGCAAAACTGAACTAAGAGGGGGGGGGAGTAGATGTTATAAGATAAATGTGACATTTGTATTCCAGCTTCGTGCTAATCCGTTCCTTCCACAAATAGTGGCTGCGTGTGCTAGTCAGTGTTCTAAAAGTGAAACATATGTTTTTCAGTGTGCCCTATCTGTGACTATAAAAAGATGGCTGTTATAAAACTTGGGATGATTCATATTTTAGGGAGTAAGATGTAGGATTCGGAATGCATAAAAATGTATGGTGGGGCCAGAAAGCTGAGCTGCATCTTTGGCTCCGTGGGTTGCAGACTGGCTTGGTCTGCGGAGCCTGTTGTGCAGAAGCCACAGCGGAGGGTGAGTGGGCACGAGCTCTCCCAGTTCCTGAGAAGTCGGTGCAAAAAGGGTCACAACTCTCTATTTACAAACTGAAAGCACAAGCTAAATGATGAAATGTCCCTGTCAGAAACATTATTTAATACATATTATTTGTAATTGTATATAATCTCATGTTTGGACTTTTTTTGTGCTGTTAGGAAGGGTAGCAGGGAACAGAGAGCCAGCCTCCTTTCAACTCCATGGGATGTAGATTACCCCACTTCTAGAATTAAAAAACTTGGACTTAAATGTCACCTCCCCTGGCATGCTTCCTAATCGTTGAAGATCTGCCTTCCTCCTCACCTTATTTTAGCTGAGTTATTTTTTTCTAAAAATGCAAAAAACTTACAATCTGTAGGGAAAGAACCAGTCCTTTCATATCTCCTTCACACCCAAAGAACCTTGAACCCCAAGAGGACACAACATGACACCCCATTTAACATCCTCCCCCCTTTTCTTGCATGTTTAAGTATTTATATATATACACTTTTGGGTGGGCTCTAATGATGTCTCACTTAGCTGTAAAATTTTCTTTTAAAATCAGTTTTAGGTTAGACACAGTGACTCACCTGTAAGTCTAGCATTTGCGATGCTGGTCCAGTCTCACCAGTGTGAGTTTGAGGCCAACTTGGCTACATAATGAATTCAAAGCAAATTGGATCTGCGGTGAGACCCTGTTTCAAAGAACTAAAACCAAACCAAACTAAACTAAAGCAAAACAACAACAAAAAATACCCCACTAATTTGTTAAGGTGTAATTTAGGTGTAACTAAACATCTATTTGAGTTTGTGTACAGCTTGATCAGTTTCGATAAACACCCATCTTCTGAAAGCAGCACCCCAACCGAGCCACCTCCAACCCATCTCCATGCAGACATAATTCATTTTTTGTCACCACATTTTTTTTTATTATTTTATTTTGGTTTTCTTCAAGACCGGGTTTCTCTGTGCAGCCCTATCTGTCCTGGAACTCATTCTGTGGGCATACACACACCTTTAATCTCAGCACTTGGGAGACAGAGGCAGGTAGATCTCTGAGTTAGTGGCCAGCCTGTTCTACAGAGTGAGGTTCAGGACAGTCAGGGTTACACAGAGAAACCCTGTCTCAAAAAACCAAAAACCAAACCAAAACAAAAAACCCCAAAAAGTTGTTACCACAATTTAATTAGACCTTTCTATAATGGAGTTCATTAAATGGAATTCCATGTTGTATTGTCTTCGGTGTCTGCTCTCTTTTGGTCACTGTAATTTTCTAGATTTGTTAGTGTTTTCATTTCTTCCTATTGTTGGACTGAATATACATCCGACCCCCAGCGTCAATGTCCCGTCAAGCTGGCTGCTGGGAATGGTCTTTGCGTGAACTTCCATTTTCAGTTTCCTTCATTGGAAAACTGCTGGGTCAGTGGCTCACTGTACATCTGTTCTCTTTAGTGACCTTGCTGTTCTCAGTTGTCGCCAGCAGTGACTGAAACCTGCAGCCATTCCACACCAAGCCCCTTTTGCTTAACTTAGTTTTTCAAAGAGACATCCTACTGGCTCTAGCCACTGCCCCAAAGCAACGAGCACCTTTTCCTGTTCAGAGTCAGCGAGCCGTCTGGTCCTCCTGTGGGTGCTGTTAGCTAATTGGGTAGTTTTTTGTTTTTTTTTTTTGTCTCATCTTGCTGTGTCACTTAAATTTCTGACACACGATAACCACATAACTGTTGTGACACTGGCTTAGGACGTCTAGGGGTGCCGAGAAGTGGGTTTTCTTTGATTTTGCAACGATCGTGTGTTTTGCTTATACCGCGATCGCCTCTTTCGTGAACACAAATTCATGGGAGCAAAACGTGTCACCAAGTGCTTGCTTCTCCTTCACGTCCAAATTGATTTCTCTTAAATACGTCCACATGTCTCCTAACTTGAAATATAAATTAAATTGTTTTTATTATAATATCTATTCATTTACATGTGGGCACGCGTGAGTGCGTGCGTGCGTGCGTGCGTGTGTGTGTGTGTGTGTGTGTGTAGTATACATGTGCATGTCACATTGAGCAGGTGGAGGTCAGAGAACAAGTTGCAGGGACTGTTTATCTCCTTCTACCGTGCAGGTCCGTGGATTGAACTCCGGTCACCAGGCCTGGCAGCAGGCCCCTTTGCCTGCTGAGCTACTTCTCTGGCCCCTATTCCTTTATTTTAGAAGTGATTTCAAACTTCTGCGATTTAGAAACTGGGGCGCAGAGTGAAAACCACCGTCAGTTCCTCGTCCTCTCCTTTCACAGGATGGTTCCTTTTCCGCCCAGATTTGCATGCTTGCGAAGTGTTGGTTTTTTATCTGAATTCAGTTTGCATATCTTCTGAGCCGCAATTAGAACAAGGTCTCACATAGCCCTAGCGATGTATGAAGCCGGGCAGCCCTGCTCTTGGGGGTTCAGGAGAAAATCCTCCAAGAGATTCTGTACACATTATACCAGGAGGGTGGCCAGGCAAACCTCAGTGTGCCCTAAAGGATAGGATGGCCAGGGCTTGTACTTGCCTTTCTCTTAAGTTTTAATTTGGTTTTTATTTTTCAATTCAGTAATTTTTATTATTTTTGAGTAAGTAAGCCCCAAAAGTCCAATGTGAGTGTTAATTTTATCTTTTTTTGTTTACTTTAATATTTTTGAACACCAGAGAAGGAGAGCAATGCAAAGACTGGTTCCCAGGCCTCCTCCCCAGACAGTCAGTTCCATGCCAATGCAAAAGGACTTAGAGGAAAAGAGGCCACTGGAATGCTGCAGCCCAGGTGCTCAGCACAGAGCAGCCGCAGTTGGTCACCTTTCCTTGTGATTACCGGAGATACAGGTTCCTGACAGTGCCCCCAGGACTTCCCACTGAGAAGCAGACCCCTGCTTCTGAGAGCCCCGTCCTGAGAGACGGGGGTGGGGGCATGCTCCTAGGTCCCATTGAGTGTCCTCTATGAGGACCTTCAGGGGACAATGATGGGGAGGGAGAGGCCACCTCTGTGCTCAGACTGCCCCATACTTCCGAATGGCTACATGATAGACTTTTCAAGTGTGAAAGAATGCAGGTGGGCTCTGAAGCGTGCCCCTGAGAAGCTCCCTGCAGAAAGGTTCTCTGTCATCTCCCTTGTCATTAGCAGTGACTTCAGCCGGTTCCTTCGGTGACTTCCATGTTCATAACTCTCTACTTGTCTATATTAAATGACGCTTTCAACCTTCAGCAATAAAACTGTCCTAAAATTACGTCTATGCATGGGTGTTCTTGGCCTGAGAACACGGTATTTCACCTTTCCTATGGTCCAATATAAACCCATGAGTCCAAGTGGCATCCATCCTATTGTATCAGGTGTGCCACAAATACACCACACACATGCAGACTGTCCCTGTGTTCCTAAGAACATTACTAGATGGGGCAATCTGCAGGCCTCTCCTTCCAGACTACTGCTGTGTTACTGAAGCTTTGGTCTGATTGACATCCAGAAATCCAGGTACACCCACCACAAGGTGTGAAACTCTGGGGGATTGAAGCTTGGAGTATCCTGGGGACCTTCACTGAGAGTTACCCTAAATTAGTCCTTCTTTCCTTGAGACAAGAGCATGTCCACCAACACAGAGTTTAGCAGCAGGGCTAGAGGTCTCTTATGTCATGTTCTCCTCGTAGACAAAGCCCAGAGGTCTACTACAATTTCCAAGCTCCATTGGCCAATTACTGGAATCCCATAAAAGGTTTTCTCCAACGTGAGGCAGTTCCCTGCCCCTAGACCTGACTTGAAACTCAGTATCCATTTATGAGTCCAGGATCACAAATTTCTCACCCTAGCTAATGCCTTAGATCCGTTCATGTCAAGACCCATTGCGGTGCCTGCATTTTTCTGTAACTTCTGTGCTTGAGACACTCTCTCACGTTGACTGGGAGCTGAAAAGCTTGGATCCCCTTGTTGGCCCTCAGGCTTCAGTGATTTGCCTGTCTTGAGCTTCTTTTCTGGGTGAGGGCCATCTTTGTGTAGGATTTTGCACCCAGCCAACCTCCGCTCTGGTAACTCTGTTGGGGTGTCTCCTGCAGAACCCTCCTCTCTGGTATCAGATCCTCAGTTCCCCAGGGGTGCGACATGTGCTCTGTGCTCCCCTTCGGCTCCCTGTTGAGGTCATTTCCTCTAGATAGCCTCTTTGTTGTTGTTGTTGTATCTAATAGCTCTCTTCCGCTCCATGCTCCACGCTCCACTCCTCTCTTCACTGGCTAGTGTAGAGTCCTCTCGTGACCTTACTTGCTATGGTTTTAGTTTCCTTGGCCTCTCCTGGTCTCTCACAGTGCCAAGCCTCAGCTGCTCTCCATGACCCATTCATGCCTTCAAAACCAGTACCACCTGGGTGACTTACTCATTATTAAGTCCGGCTGCCAGCGAGAGGTGTAACCTTGGCTGCCTCTGGAACATAGCTTTGCTGTGCTCTCAGGAAACACTTCCCTGAAGATTTCGCTCCAGTGATGCTGGTCTCTTCTTAATCACCACTGATTTCTTAGCTCCAGCTGAGCAACATCAAGTATGCCAGCAAAGCAAAGTTTCATTTCAGTAGTGTAATGATTCTGCGCGAGAGGGACTTTGGCGGCTGAGAGCTCAGGGCCGGTGAGGGACAGACAGACAAATGTGCCATACAGACAGAGATTCGGTGAGGAGTTTATGGAGAGAAGGGAATGGGGAGGGAAGAAATGGGCCTCTGGGGACAGGAGTGCTGGAAGGGGAGAGAGAGAGAAGGGAGGGGAGGCGATTTTATCTTGTTTTAAAAGAGAGTTATTTTCGATCTTGTGAGTGAACTTTTTAATTTTTATTTTTTTGTCTTTTGAGATGGTGTCTCTGCTGCATGGCCCCAGATGTTCTGAAACTTGCTCTGTAGACCAGGCTGGCCTTGAACTCACAGAGATCCACCTGCCTCTGCCTCCTGGGTGCTGGGATTAAAGGTGAGAGCCACCATGCCCAGCTGGATCTTATCTTTTTTGAAATGGCCATTGTCAGTGTGACAGTTTGTGTGTCTCATGACACCCTCCCACCCACTTAGGGAGTTGTCTCAAGCTCACCCGTGCCCTGTTTCATTTCCTGATTTTTTGAAGAGCAATGACCTATTGTCCATAGGAAAGGAGAGGTCTGTGCCCACTGCTTTGATTCTGCCTCCTTAAGAGTCTGGAGGATGTGTAAGAACTAAGGATAATGACATATATGTATGAAGCGCCACGAGCCCCATCACTTGGTGTGATAACTTGGGTGGGGGACCCAGGAAGCCACCCAAATCTCTCTAAACCCGGCCCACCCTACAGCATACAGGTGCTTCTCATTTACCTTGACTCGTGGCTCAGCTTCCTAATAGCTCTTCTGGCTCCGCCCTTCCCTGCCTGAACTCAAGTCTCCCACACAGCCATATATCATAAAAGGAGTCTAGAGCCCCGGGTTACCATGGTGACACAAGGCCCCTTTTGGAGAAGAGGAAAGACATGATGGAAGAAAATTGTTACCAACCCCACTTACTTTGATTGTTTTGGGGTCTTGCTGTCTAGCCTGAGTTGGACTCAAGTTCAGATCTTCTTCCCACCTTCCCAAGTGCTAGACTGTAGGCATGTACTATCACCAGACATGTAGGCATGTACTATCCCCAGACATGTAGGCATGTACTATCACTGGACATGTAGAGCATGTACTATCACCAGACATGTAGAGCATGTGCTATCACCGGACATGTAGGCATATACTATCACTGGACATGTAGGCATGTACTTTCCCCAGACATGTAGGCATGTACTATCACCAGACATGTAGGCATGTACTATCATCAGACATGTAGAGCCACAGTTTTCCCAAAACAGTCACTGCTAACATAGTTTTGGCCTGTAGTATGTCTCTGTCCTAGTATTAGTTAGGGACCGGAGAGATGGCTCAGTGATTAAGAGCACTTGTTGTTCTTGCAGAGGACCAGAGTTCAATTCTCAGCATCCACATGGCAGCTCACAACCATCCATAATTCTATTTTCAAGGGATCTGGATCTTCTGCCATCTGCAGGCACCAGGCATAAATGTATACATATATATAAATACACACACACACACACACACACACATATACATGTATATATAGGCACATCACTCAGACATATTAAATAAAAATAATAAATCTAAAAATATTTTTTAAATACATTTTATTTATTTTGTGATGTCTATACATAATGTCTGCACGTGCACACATGGCTTGTTACATATGTGGCGGTTGGAAGACAACTTGTTCTTTCCTTCTACTATGTGTGTCCTGGAGAACATTGGAGGAGGGCTGGTCATCAGGTTTAGGGACAAGCACCTACTGGCTAAATCTTCTCCCCAACTCCAGCCAGGTATTTACCAAGAATTTCTAGACCATGGTCCTGTCTTCAATTAAAATTCCAGTGCTGGGGATTGAACCCAGAATCTTTTGCATGTCAGATAAGCACTAAACTGTACCTCCATCCCCGTGGTTGTATGTTTTATTTTTACTATTTCTTAAGTGAAACCTATCTTCATTGGGGGCTTTTACTAAAGAGAAGTTAGGATAATAATGCAAATATATTGATTGAAAAATAACAAAAGAATCATTTTCAGGTATAGTGGTTCTGGGCTGGTGGTAAGCGCCCATGTCAAGGTAAATGACGACACATTTACTTCATGCGAAAGGGGTAAAGGAGCCGAGGAAGAGCTTGGGAAAAGGCCAGATGACCTTAGGTTTCCCAAGTGATGGGAGCGGGGTGAGTCAGCAGGCGAGAAGCTGCCCGGTGCCCTGCACCTGTGTTGCTGGGTGCAGGCCAGAGATGAAAGCGAAGCGAGCTATTGCAGCTGGTGGCTCTCACCACCCGACTAGGAGGAAGAGGAAGTCTTCCCTGCCTACGAGGAGGTATGATGAAACCACAACCTCCAGAAACCTTTAGACTATACCGTAACTTTCTCCTGTTGTCGGTGGCATGCCGGCTGGGACTTTCTGAACGTTATTGCCTGTTTGGGGCCTCCCTATCTAGGCCGGTGGTCTGCCTGCTGCTGATCTCGTAGGCTGCACGGTTCTCTCTGCTTGTGCTCCGTCAATGGGAGTTTGGTGGGCACCCGTGGGGTACTGCCCACTGTGGTTAGTGTGAGATGGGCAGACAGGGTCTGGTGGCCGAATCCTCCTGTCCTCCCTACCAAGGGTGCTGATTGTGGAGGTTGCCCTAACTCTCAGCAGAGCAAGCATTCAACGACAGCCTGTTTGTTGTGGGCTTCCTGACCTCTGAGTTGGGCGGCTAAGGCCTAGTTTCTCCTCTTTGAGCCCAGGTGGTTAGGTATGGGAAGCAGAGTCTGCATCTCTTCTCAGAGTTGGCTTCCTAAAAGACGGTTGAAACTGGGAGAGTGATGACCGTCTGGGCTCCTTTCGGAAGGCGCTGAGCAGACACATTCGGGACTTAGGTACAGGAAGCAGAGAGCAGAAGAGAGGATGGTTGGAATTTTCTCAGCAGAGTTGGTGTTAAGAAGCAAGCCGGCCCCTCTTCAGAGTGCTGCAGCAAGGGCAAAGGAGCCTGTCTGCCTGGGCACAGAATGGGAGTGGTCAAGGCGAAGCTGTGGTCCTCAGCCGCCCCTCATAGTCCTCCACCCCCAACTTCTCCCAGGTCACCCATATCCCTTCTCTATGTCTCTTCATTTCCTTCAGAGAATGAGGCATGTGTAGAATATTTTCTTGACTTTATAACTGGCCTGTAGCTACTTACCTCTGCTCTAGGAGTGAGTGCACAGGGGCCTTGTGGAGCTTGTCCCCACTGGGGTTGTAGTGGCACCTCACACACACGGGTGCGACTGTGTTCTGGAGCCAGACTTTCCTTTCTGCTGCCGGCTCACAAATAACAACATGGGGACTTATTATTAATGATGAAAAGTTGGCCTCAACTTAGGCTTTCCCCCAACTAGCTCTTATAAATTAACCTGAATCATCCTGAGTTCGTCTCTAATCCCAGAAGTCCTGCCTACTCTCTCCTGCCTAGATATTGGCCATTCAGCTCTTTACTAAACCAATTACATCTTCACACAGTGTAAACAAATAGTTCACAACAACATTCTGCTTGTAAGAGGTTTTAAGGAGCTGGTATTGAAAGACCTCCGGAGTGGGAAGACTCTCACTCAAGTCTCGGGATAACACGACCCCCCCAAGGAACTCACAAGAGACCGTCCTTGCTGCAATCACACGAGGTTTATTGACAGGACAGGAATCAGTGCACTGGGGCTGAAACTCATTTCCCACACAGGGGTAGAGAGTTTGACCCCGAGTCACTGGGAGAAGGGGTATTTAAGGGAAGAAACCACAACCCAGTAATCTAAAGGGAGTAGGGAGGGCGTCATTTGAAAATTCCGAAAATACCAGTGATCATCACAAGGGGATAACTCCCTGTTTCTCAAGATTATTCTCAAGATTATAATCTAACTTTAGCTTCAGCTAGTTCCTAAAACAGAGTCACTGAACTGGCTAACCTAGACTTTTGGCTCTATTTTTTCTGCTAGATTTTTGGCTCTATTTTTCCTGCTAGAGGGGTCTGGATTTATCCGGGTCTTTCAGTATCATTTTAAATAGTCTTCAAACAATAGAAGCAACAGAGCAGAACCCATAGCCACAGTGATAACCATAGCAACAGCCATAGCCTCTTCTCAGAGTGATGGGGAGGTGTTAGGTGCCTCATGCGCTTATCCTTTGGTCCTCAATGTTACTTTACCTGGGAGAAAAATCAGGCCCATTGTTCTTAGATCCTGCAACAGGGTTGAGACTCACATAAAATCTTCCAATTCTGTCCTGGCCATAAGAGACAATGGAACCTTAGCCCTTGTCTAAGTCAAGACGAGGACTCCACTGTCTTGGAGTCAAGACAGGTGAACTATTTGTTCATGTCAGCACCTGTCATTTGCTCCCTATGTCACCTGAAACAGGTGACCTGGCTACTTTGCTTCAGTTCCCAATATGGAACCTTAAAGCAGTTTGATTATGTTTGCTGCACTTTTTTTTTTAAAGTGGCTTTGAGGGGACTGGAGAGATGGCTCAGTGGTTAAGAGCATTGCCTGCTCTTCCAGAGGTCCTGAGTTCAGTTCCCAGCAACCATGTGGTGGCTCATACGCATCTGCAATGAGATCTGGTGCCCTCTTCTGGCCTGCAGGCATACACACAGACAGATTATGGGACTTATCACCTTTGTTTACCCAGCTCTTTGATATGCTAAATATATTTAATTTTTTGCCAATATGGTATGGTTGTATTTAAGTGGCTATTTTGCCCTTTGCTTCCCATATGTCTCTTTCATACCTTGTTCCTTTCTTACTTCTAGTGGGTAAAACAGTATTTTGGGGTGTCTTACTTATTTGCTCTATTATGTTTATTATGCTTCTTTTTGTTATTTGTCAGAGGTTGCCCTGGGCTCACACCCCTTTAAATGAAGTGTTCATACTTGTTCTTTTCGGTGTAGACACCCAGGTCATTATGTCACCTTTTCGCTGCTGGTAAGGGATGCAAACTTTCAATCTACAAATTAATTTTGTCTTTCATCCCTATTTTGTCTTTAAGCTCCTGCAGATGCACAACACAGTATATGGGAATAACAGAAAATCTGGTGCAAGCATTTTATGGAAAAGGGAGAGTCTTAAAAAATTAATATGAGCTTCTCGGTGACCTAAGGGCCAGGGTCAGCTAGTAGATGAAACGATCTAGTGGTAAAATACTAATGCAGATATTTACATCTCTCTCTCCCTCTTTCTCTCCCCTCTCACTTTTTTGGGACAGGGTTTCACTCCTCTATGTAGCCCTGACTGTTCTGGAACTTACTCTGTAGACCAGGCTGGCCTTGAACTCAGAGATCCTCTTACCTCTGCCACTTGAGTGCTGGGATTAGGTATGTGTTGCGACCACCCGGCCAAAATCACAATGTTCTCTGTGACTCAAGAGAAAGACTGATAACTGCTCTTTTCTTCCTATCATGTACAAAGCCCATTGAAAACCATTGTTTCATTATTTGCTAATTACCAAGTCAGGTTCCAACATAAAGCTATGGATCAAAATTTAAAATGAGGTTTGAAATGACGTGTAGTTTGTCCATCAATGTTGGTGTCTTTCCATACAAAGAGTGACTTGCCTCTGGCAAGAGGGTCAGCTGTGCCATTTGGAAGACAGGACACCGAAGGACACCACTCCCAGAAGAGCCTCTGCAGTGTCCGTATCAGTATCCGAGTGTTCCTATCTTCCCATAGGAGAAAGAGTTAATAAGGGGAGGCAGAAAAATCCAGCCGAATAAAGTTTTCAAAATGGATGGAGCAGAAAGTATTCCCAGAGGCAGGTTAAGCTCAACCAAGGAACAACTCTCCCAGTGCCTTCACAACTGGTTAACATCCAGGACCAAAGCGAGCACGGCTCTGCAGTCAGTGCTGGGCTCCAGCAGAACGTTGCTGTGGTTGATGTGCACCAAGCAGGATCCCATTAGTTTTCCAAACTGAAGAATTCTCCACGGCTCACACTTCTTCACGTAACTCTCACGACTGTTTGGTTTTGAAGGGCCCAGGATATATTTGGTCTTAGATAATCCTTCATGAGAAATTCAGCTTGCAGTCTAATATGATTGAAACTCGGCCTGAGTTTGTTTTATAAGGCATCAGACTGCATAGTCTAGGAGCAGTGAATTATTCAAGATGTGTAGACAAACAAGGGACTTGTGCTCTCACACAGGGAGGAGTGGCCAAAGAAAGAAACAAATTCAATGTGTCTTATTATCTCCTTCTTTTTACCTTTAAAACTCTTCCAAATATTAGAGGAAAGAAATCAGTATCAACCTTTGCCTCTGTCAGGTTCTGAACTTCAATTATTAATTTGACCACAGTTCTGTGTATCACTGGCTCCACGACAATATTTCTGAGCCTTTATTAAAAATGTAGAATGTCGTTAGATTTCCAGATATGACTCTCCAGTGGCTAATTTGGCTAATTTTATTAATAAGAGGACGCCGAGGAGCAATACTACCTTAGTAGGCCTGCAGGTGAGATTGAACTATAAATTACTTCCACTGAAGTTGAAAAGCAATGACTACTATGAGACTATAGGCAATCACCTTTGGAGTTAATCCTGCGAGAACCACGGTTTCACCATGGCAGACTGGTGTCCACTCCCGGGAATTTCCAAATGAAATTCCCCCTCAGCAACAGCCTTACTAGAGGTTTTCACACTATATGAATGCCGTCTGTCTTAATATGTCCTCCAAATCTCTTACCCATTTTGTTGTCTGTGCAATACTGTGAATTCCAAATTTCTAAATACAAATCGAAATAACAATCAGAAACTTTGACATTCCAGATCAAAATTGCTGCAAGAGGCAGTCAGAATATCTTGCCTACTTTAAGACAGAGTGTTTCTATGAGAAAAGGAGCTTGGTTGTACTCCTGCTTAAAGAAGGATATATTCTGGGTCTTGCCTGGCAGAGAAGAGCAAGAGCTATGCTGCTTCACACAGGAAGTCAGAAATGATGCTAGGAACTGCCTCTGGCCTGTTTCCTTTGCTTAGCAACAGTGGACCCGGTTGTTCAGGAGGACGGCAGGGCAGAACAATTTCCAGTTCCTTGAGTGCTCTTGCAGGCTCCTTAGGGTGGAGTGGAGAGCAAAAGGGAAGCAGAGGGCAGCCCAAAGACAGGAAGTCCCACAGGAGCTGGGCCTGCTTCCCAGAAGGACGGTGCACAGCGACCTACTTAGCAGCTGAAAACAAAGTGGAGGAACTGTCCAAGGTCAGGGTCACATCCTCTCCTGCTCAGATGATTTCAGATGTTCAGAGCAAGAACACAAACCGCTCACATGAAGGAATTCCCTTGAGTTTCCCGTACAATGCATCATAGACCGCTGAAACTGCTGCTTTTCTAAAGCAGCAGCAAATGGATGTCTAGTCTGCCTATACTTGCCTTGTTTTAGGCTAAGACAACACCTGACTAAGAACAACTCTTCTCCAGTGACCGTTTTATGTTAAACCTGGACAGACTGCCTTTGAACCGGTCCCCAGAGCTCACCAGAGACCCCCCACACCAGATGCTTTAGAGATAATCCGATGAAACTTACGTGCTTCAGGGCTCGTTTTACTATATACATTTTCTAGATGAGTTCTGAAATTATTCGAAGCTTTATACCACCAGGAAGACGAGAGAGGTCAGACGGTGTAGACCCAAACCATCAAAAGTCTCTGAAGTTAAAAAAAAAGATTGTGTTGATGAGGTTTATATCTAAATCCATACCTACATGCTATCAATCACTCTGCCTCTTCATCCATCTACCTAACCTTATTGTAATCACAATTCCAATAAAATCTACATAGAAAGATAACCATCAGAAGACACACTGAGAAGTTCAAAGAAAATGTCCTTAGCTTAAGGCATTACAAGTGAAATGTTCTTGTTTGTCAATCTTCTTGGCTTGAAAGTTCATTCATGAACGATAGCTTGAAGGGAAGGGAAGAGACCCAGC